AACTTCTAACAAACATCCATCCATCCATCTATACATTCGCATTTAAAATATTAGCAAGATCAGCCATTTTTTGGGTATGATCCTAATGGTATACAAATATAATTCCTTGCCTAATATTCGAGATATTCCTCTCCTTTTCCTTTTTTTTTCTTAAATCTGTACATATCGATACATACGCGAGGTCGGGTGATATCACCCGGTCTACTTCGACCCTGACTGTACTCTGTACTCCTTTGTTCATTTGTATGTTATCATAGTTATAATTAGATGAGATTTGTTTTACATTTATTATTAAAAAAGAACACGAAACTGATACATAAACACGGCTAAACACTCACGTATATAAGTCCGGTGGCGGCACCGACTAGTTTCGAGCCCATCGGGGGCCCTTCATCAGGATGAGTGGTACTGGTATTGCCGCCACCGGACGTATATACGTGAGTGTTTAGCCGTGTTTATATATCAGTTTAGTATAATGTCTCACGAAAGTTTGAATAATTTAAAAGAACACGAATTTACTATATTCTACTAGTTCGATTCGCTAAAAGAGCGAAGCTACTGTTGCCCAAAGACAGACGTTGCAGATGCGTTGCCTACATTTAATTGACAGAGGAAGGATCACACAAAAAAGATATTTGTGCTATGCGCTCCTTAAATTCAAATCCACTTCCGCTTCCTATTCTTTCCTTATAAGAAAAGGGTGATTGACTAAAATTAGAACTCCGGCACAAAATTAATTTAGGAGTTTGCAGATACATCGGTAGGGTCTAGAAAAAGATGTTTTTGTTTGAAATGTGACATAATTGTGACGGAATTGACAGAATATATATGAATTTGAAATATAATTATAAATTTAACAGTGGTAGAGCCCGCTTTAACATCTTTGCACGAATCGGCCTGGCTCGCCCGGTGAAATACCACGACCACACAGAAGACAGGCGTGAAGTGGAAGCAATTCCGCGTTTCGTCTGATGAGTGTGCGTCCCGGAGGCCTAATTTAGTCCTCTTTCCCTTCCCATCCTTTTCTTGATAAGGAGGGAAGTGGAAGTGGACTTTCCGGATGAGAGGATGCATGGAAAGGGAAGATATTTTCTTTCTGTGCATCCTCTCCTCCGTCGATTTAAGGTCGGCAATGCATATGCAATTGCGTATGTCTATGGGCAACGGTCACTTCGCTATTTCAGCGATTTCAGGTGGCCGCTCGCTCGTTTGCCACCTTTTGATATAAAAAAATATAAAACCCAGGTGCACCAACGCTACGTGTATGGGATGAGGGTATGTTGAAATAAATTACAGTTTTAAGTGGAAAAACTTATAAAAACGCATGTAACATGTCATTAATGCTAACTAACTATTAAATCACAATTAAGATATAAAATAGACTTCATATCAATATGTTTTTATTATGATTTTAATGGATGTACACGTTAAAAAGCCGATAAGTTTTTTTTGTACAGATAAACTACTGAACTTAGCCACAATACTATTAGTCATAAAATTAAGAAAAAATCGTTAAGTTAGGTTATGCTTTCTGAACACAATACAAGTTAATGTTCTATACTTTTTTATCTTGGCATAACGATTGCGTAATCACCGCTTTAGGTTTAAAAAAAAGCAATACGTCAATGTCAAAAACGGCGCGAAGGTTATCAACCTCTTTACTATGGTCTATGAACGATCTTTTTGTGTTTTTATGTGCGGTACACTATGGAGCCACGTAGTGTTTTGTGCCATCAAATTCGTAATAACCAGAAAAAACTAAAGAATAATTTAATATGAATTATTGTTTAAACACGTGTACTAAAACATTGTTGTTTGTTTTCTTTACAAGGAAAATGTGAGAGACGACAATATGTTTATGGATGAGTGAAATCCTACATCAATCCCGTCGATTATAAGTAAGCAACGCAAATGTGTAATCTATAGGCAGTGTTCGCTATTACAGCGAATTCTATTAGCCATTTGCTCCATTCCCATTCAATCGAAATACATTAATATCTCAAATGTTAATACCAATTAAGACAACTATTTTATATTTGTCGTTTTAAAAATGTTTTTTGCTATACAAAAAAACTACGCTATTTGTTTTAACAATTAAAAGTTAACTTTATCACAAATGAACGTTTATGTTACGTTAAATCTTTATTACTTTGCACCGTAACTGTTGGTAATAAAAACGAGTAATGGATAAAATACTTTATGCTAGTTGCTTTGAATCAATAAAAACAAAGAATATTGTTTTCACTAGCGTTCTGTTATCAGACAAGACCTGGATGGGCTGTCCCACAACGGTGCGATTCGGGCAATTTTCTGCGCACAGTTGCGTTGTGGTACGGTCTGTCCTTGGCTGTATTTCAAATGACTTAGGGTCCTTCAAGAATTGAGCATTTTCTTAAAAGCCGGCAACGGATCTACTGCGTTGATCATCTCAGTGTTCCCTCTGCTCGTTTACCCTCTTTAAAATAAGCGAAATTTTTTAGAAAAACATTTCTTTTCATAAGAATTACATAATTTGTATTTAAAGTGTTGGTCAATCTTTAAATATTGCGAAATATAATTCTTTTTTTGTATCACTTTATCTTCCACTTAAGGTGTAACCTACTTGACAGATAAATAAAACATAAAAGTTTAAAAAGTGAAGGGCTTCTAATGTCGAAATGTTTAAGAGATCGCGACTGGCACTTTACCAGACTATACATAAGTACTATCAGGGAATCTGGTGGTGTTCAGTCTTAAAAGGTAGTCGTATGAACGCTTCGTTATCGTTGAGACGACGCGACGCGTCGACGCGGCAACAATAACCAATGGTAAGCAACTTTTATATATGTTTATAAGAAAAAAGATCGGTCAGTGGTACACAAAGCTTTATACTATAACACCGTTTGAGCAATTATCTGTTGCCTAATTGGTTATTTTATAAGAAGTGGCAGAGTTTGTCTCGTTGCAAAGAACAAGGCAATTTTTCTGTAATGCAACACCGCGAACGGTTCTGATTGTACATACAAGAAACTACGCAACTAATCTGTTAAGGATTAATAAATATTTAAATTATTCTCTTTTCCTAAGGTCCTCATTATTAAGATATTTTTCTGGTTTAATGGCCATAAAAAACTTCTTCGTTCTAAGGAGTTTTAATATAAATAAAAAGAAATTAAGTTCTTTCGTTAGTTTTATGTGCATTGCAGTGGTCGAGTTCATTGACCTCTTTTTGACTTTGTCAACCGATTCGTTTACATTACAAAATTACAAGAAACGAAACAAAACGAATAACACGATCAAGTGTTTTCAAAACAATTGAACATTACGAGGATATCAAATGTTTGGATTATTGATTTAATAACCTAACTAGCTGTCGCCCGCGATTCCATCGGCGTGAAATTAAAAAATAATAAATAGGCTATGTGTTCTTCCAGACTGTGTTCTATATTTATGCCAAATTTAATCGAGATCCGTTCAGCAGTTTTGGAGATACATTCAAACAAACATCCATCCAAGCATTTATAATATTAGTAAGATATCCTCAGTTGAATTCCTGCTTAATTTGATAAATATTATTTATTTTATTTCAATAAGGAAAAAAAAACTTAAATCCAGATTTATTGAAAGCAATCTATAGTTATCGTAAGTATCGAATTCGAATCTAATTAAAAAAAATACGCATGACAAAATTATAATCATCGTAATGTGGCTTGTAGGAAAACATTTAAAATGTTTCTCGAAATATTCAATAAATAATTTTCCGCGATGTTTTATGTCTAGTGGTATGTATATTGCAGTTAATTTTAAATTAAATAGTTAATAACAGAAATATTAATTTTTGAATTCTATTTATCAAATTAAGGGAAATAATTTCTACCGTTAAATCTTTTTTTTTTAAACCGTTAAACCTAATAAATATTATCTTTATATATAATCATTATAATTAGTTCAATTTGAAGGAAAATGCCGTTAAAATGTAGTTCTATTTAACCATTATTTTACTTCAAAATGTTTACATTATTTTTTATAAAACAAGTAAATCATTCTTACCGTAATTTATGTCCAAAAATATTTCAACGATCCTATACGAACACTACAATGTTTATAACAAAACCCACGTTTTTCATAAAATAAACTACGAAACCCGGCAAATGCCTGAACTTTATTATTATTTAGCATTAATCTTTGTATTATTTGTCATGTTAATGTTAAAAACATCACAATAACACCAAAATTTTGTAACAAACGAAACAATCGATAGGAAAGAGCGTGAAAACGACCAAACAGCACTGCTGTCAATACCGTACTAAACCTGCTGACTGAGCTGACATAAAGTTACAAAATGGCGTGCTTACTTTGAGTTTGCGCAATATAAAGGCGTTTTCACAGAGTTTTTTTTTCGTTTAAGGTTTTATTCGCATTAAATACATTAAAAAAATGAAAACAAACGAAAATATCTACCCGAAAGCAATAAGCATTTATTTAAACGAGAGCAATGGAGTAAACCTCGTAACTGACAGGATTACGGACTTAGTTCTCTACTTAGTCATTTTATTTAGATAAACCTCACTTATCTATTTATTTGTCAAAACTTCATAATATATTTTCAAACATAATTCATTCTTGTTCATCAATTCATTCTCATTGAGTTGTGTGTGTTTTTTTAAATATTAAGCAAAGATAACTTGCTAAATTCGCATTTATCTTAGTTTAATAAGTACATTGTGTTTTTGTTAAAGTTTTTTTACATGTTAATTTACACTACTAAACACTAGATGGCAGAGCTGCATAGTGTTAGCAACACTGAAAATATAAAAGTAAGATATTTTCATTTTTACTATAAAATTGATTAAAGAAATTAAAATTTTATGCAATATGTAAAATTCTCTTCATAAATATAATTAGTCCAAAGTTATTTAAAAATTAGAATTTGTATTGAATATTGTTCCTTTATTATTAGTGGCAATAATTAATATGACATTTTTGTGTTTGTCTTTGAAATCAAATTTGACATTGACAATTTGAGACTATGTGAGAATTTCGTTGGCGGTAAAATAAAATTGCTTTTATTTATATTAGTTATAAATCAAAGTAGAATTGTGTGATATGAATAATTGTGTAAAATGGCTGAGAAACTGGAAGATCTGAATCTGCCCATGTCTGTTGTGACTCGGATTGTTAAAGAATCTTTACCTGACGGTGTAGCTATATCGAAAGAGGCTCGTACCGGTTTAGCAAAGGCCGCTTCTGTTTTCGTATTATACGTGACTTCGGCAGCCACTAATATTGTTAAAAACCACAAAAGAAAAACATTAACAGGTCCAGATGTCTTAGAAGCTATGAAAGATATAGAATTCGACCGATTCGTCGGGCCATTAACTGAAGCGTTGGAAAACTACAAACAAGCTGTTTCTGCAAGAAAATCTGGCGCTGGGAAGAAAAAAGAAGAAGCTGAAGAAATAGAAACAATTGAAGAAGATTAATATTACTCTAAATAATTTGTTTTTAATTATTTAATAGGTATTTTTAGCTAACTTTGATATTGTCACCAATAAAATTGTTAATTTTAAGGTTAATATCGTTTTTACATCAGTTATTATGTGTACTGACAATAGAAAAAGAATTTATACATATAATTTTAATTTTAAACTGAAAACAACTGCAAATTAAACAACTTTAGTCACTCATGAATGGGGTCGGTTTTTGAAATTTCATCACTGAGGAAATTTATTCTAGTAAGATTCTATATTAGGACAGCTTTTCCTTGAACTGATATAAAAACGGCTAAACACTCACTTATCAGGTGGCGGCACCAACTAGTTTTGAGCCCATCGGCTCAAATAGGCCCAATGCCATAGCCGTTTTTATATCAGTTTATTATAATGTCTCACGAAAGTTTGAATAATTTAATAGTTTTTTCTTGCTTTAATCTGTGCTCCGGATTAGCTGTCTATAGGTTCTATATCTATGATTATTATCCATGTTTTAGATAGTTGTAATCACATACCTTTCTAGTACTTATTGAACTGTATAAAAACATATTACTAGTTCTTTTTTTTTAAATTATGTTCTACAAATAAGATGATAAATTGTGAGAATTGTAATAAAACACCATTTTTGTATTATAATTTTATTTGGGAATAAAATTTGTTGAGACACAACTTGGAATCATAACATTGGAACCAATGTTTCTCAATCTACCTACATCCTGTCTCTGCCTTTATTTACATTCCTCTGGAATTCCGCAACTACCCTCCATAACGAAAATAAATATTATCTCTAAATATATTCTGTTGATAATCTACATTAAATTTCTTTGATTAAATTCAATTTTTATTTTATTGTTAATATATAATAGAGAAAAATTGGAAAGACTTAATGCTATGAAAGGTGTCATATTTGTACGACATGTACTTTGTATTACTGGCAACATTTGAAATATTAGAGCTGGTATCATTGTGGATAGAAAGACATTTAACCTTATTGGTAGCGATGAATTTGTATTGATATTTGGAACATTTTTAAGGGTTGCCATAGTGATATCATTAAAATTAGTTAATAAATGAACTTTTTTTTTGTAATCAAGAAAGTTACAGCGTTTCTCAAAGCAAAAGTTGTATAAATAATTGAGTAAGTATTATTTTGGTGTCCTGAAAAGACAAATTGTACGAAGAAACATTCTTATTTGACCAAATTGATACTAAGTATATAAGACAGGGGAAATATGATAAAACGGCTCTAATATTTCAAAGATTTTGTTTATATTACAAAAAAAAAACTTAAATAGCATTCTATGCCGAAATTTTAATTTAATCAAATTTATGCCAGACTTAAAATGAATTTATAATCTATAGAAAATACTTTGCGTATATTAAACTTAGTTAGTTATTTCGTTATAACGTTATTAACGTTTTAATGAAACGAACTAACCGACATTCCTACGATAATATCGAATAACTACTGGTGTTCGAATCGTTCATAAAACGCCTTATAATTAACCGAATTATATATAATCTACCAAATCTCGCGTACAACTATCAAAATGTTATTCTAGCAAATAACTAGATATTGATGAGGTTTACTTTAATATTACGATTTATAAGAAATTATTGGTTGAGCAAGCAATTTTAATAATTTATTTACTTTTTCAATTTTAATAAAAATTAAAAAAAAACTAAAAATATCGTTATGTTAAAGAATAATAAATAAATCTTGTTTCAATCTATTGAATATTGGATAGTCCTAAAAATAAAAGTAAGTAGGGTAGACCAGAAAAATATAATTAGAATTTTGTTTAATATTTTTGAGTTTAATTTTTAATTTGAAATTACAAATGTCAAAGTGACATTTATAATCAACCGTCATCAATAACAGTTACATTACAGATAAGCTATTAAATGAATAAACTAACCTTATTTCTAGGATAAACACTATTTTGGGTAATACAGCCTTTTTCAGTCCGTACTTATATTGACTTGGCAATTTCTTAAAGGAATTTTGAAAGTATAAGCTTAATAGAGTTTTAATTAAGCTATAAACAACTTAATATATCGATTAGAGTGAACAAAATCTCAGTTTCTGGCTAAAGGAGTTATAAATATCCTATATGATAACAGAAATGTCAGCTTTTAGATGCATTTATCAGTTTTTAAAGAATTACGCATTTTACCGTGGGTTCCTGAGACCAAAATCTCCGTTTAAAACATATAGTTATTTTTGTGTTGTCAAAAATAATGACAGGGGATATATTTAATATGTTAAGTGCCGCGTCAACCATCGGTGGCTGACAGCGTGTAACATGACAACCATACAATTTTACACTATTTTGCGTTAAAAATGTAAACTATTTTGCCCTGCGATCGGAAACACCGGCCTTTTAATACCAGTGCGTATAAGCGGCGCTCGAGGCCTGAACGGGACTGTCTTAGAAATACGCGTGGCGCTCAACGTGTTCAGATTTTGGTATTAGAAACCCACTTTTAGTCAATCATAAATAATAATAAAAATATTGCTAGCATCAAAATTAAGTAGGAGGAAAGAAAAAAAAATAACCAAAAAATAAAAATAAATGTTTATTAAACAAGTTTTAAATTAAAAGGATTACGAAGCAACACAGTCCAGTATTTTTACAAAGGCACGAAATTAAAAATAAAACAAAAAGAAAATTAAAAATACATCAGTAAGTTTTATACACATAAGAATATATTTTCTTAATATAATTAAATATTAAAATTATAATAAATATTGCCTCAACTTTCAGAAAAAACAGACATCTCTGTTGTAAAGTTAATAACAAAGAGATTCAACTAAATTATAGACTGAACATTACAGACAAATCACAATGATCAATAAAATAATGTCACTTGTCATGTGGCAACACCGAGGTGGTCAATGACACCCATGGACATCCACAACACCAGTGGAACTGCAGATGCATTTGCCTTCAAGGAATTGGTATGCTCGCTTCTTGAAGGACCCTAAGTCGTATTGTTTTGGAAATACCGTTGCACAACAAGGTTGAATGTGAGGCTGTCAAAGTAGACAGTTTGTTACCTAAAGGTAATAATTTGTGTTAAAAAGTTTGTTCCTAATGTCCAATCTATTCTATTTATATGTTGAATATCTTTTTTTTAATATTATAAGATGGCAAACGAGCGAGCGGCTACCAGTAATCACTGAAATAACGAAGTGACCATTGCCTATAGACATACGCAATTGTATATGCGTTGTCTACCTTTAATCGACGGAGGAGAGGATGCACAGAAAGAAAATATTTACTCTTTCCATGCATCCTCTCATCTGGAAAGTCCACTTCCACTTCCCATACTTTCCTTATAAGAAAAAGGGTGGGAAGGGAAAGAGGACTGAATAAGCCCTCCGGGACGCACACTCATCAGACTGTACTTGGAATTGCTTCCACTTGACGTGTGTCTTCTGTGTGGTCGTGGTCTTTGTTCATATAAATATGCAACAGAGATGAATGTCTTTCAGAAGGTTGTAATATATTTATTGTTTGTTTTCTCTTCAAAGTATTTGTGCAAAGAAAACTGCTGATAAAAATCTACAGTATGTTTTAAAATTCTTCAACAAGATTTAAATGTCACGATATTTTTTGGCTGAATTAGACGTGTCGTAACTTTTTTTTATAGTAATTTATTTATTGTCTGCATATTGTTACAGATTATAAGCAGAAAAAAATATTTGAGCGATAAATTAAGTTATAAATAGAAAAAAAAAACTGCTACTAAAATCTAACTGCTTCAAAAAAGACACGGAAAGATAAATTGTGTACAGATAAAAAAATCGCGCCAACTATTTAAATGTTGCCATAACAAAAAAAAAATTAGAATTATTTTCTACACTAGTGATATACAATTGACTAATTCTATTTTGGAATATTTGTTATATTTACAAAAAAAAAAGCAAGCCATTATAACTATCACTTTTAAATATATCGAGAAATTGTCTTTTTTTAACGTACTTTTTTTAAATTACCCATAAAGTTTGCAGACCAAACTATTATTAACAATCACAATTATTTGGTTGTTTATATAAGCTATAGAATAAATAAAAAATAGTTGTAACTAAATTAAAAAAAAAAAAATGCAAACAGTTCGAATACTAGATTTAACAGATCTAGATTTCTGAACCGTCGAATGCAATATTAAATTAAAAAAATTATATATCTATTTGTCATAATAGTGTTAATAATTTTTAGTCTTAAAAAAAGAAGTTATCCTATGGAAGATTCCTAAGGACTTATGCCATTTCAAAATTACATTAAATAATCGTAACGTCTTGTCACATACAAGATGGATAGTGCTATAAAAAACATCATACGTCATAAGTGTCATCTGTCTCCTTTCTTCACGCTACTATTATATCTACCTTCTCTTTCTTGTAACGAAAAATCACACAAAACGACACAAATTTCAAACCATCAGGTAATTTATTAATAGTTGGCTTCCGAGACCAAAATCTCTATTAAACATATCCCTGTTATCTTTGACAAAACAGAGATAATAATATATTTTTACAGATATTTAACACGTTAGCTGCCGTGTCGGACTATGTGTCGGACAAGTCATACTTCCATTCAACTCACTGTGGCTTCACCAACGCTTTTTAATCGAATTGTTGTATACAACGTGACCCACAAGGCCCCATTCAAATGGTTTTGAACAAAATTAAAAAAAAAATAGTTTATCGAAAAATCATTCTGGCAACTAAAGTGTTAAGTCTCAGAAACCAACGATAATCAGTTTTTATTAAATTTTACAGCATTATCGACCTTATTCTCTATGTGTTAAAGTTCATCTTACAATATAACTAGCAACTCTATCGTGACGAAACGCCATTTTATTGCTTTAGTACCGGAATGGTATGGCAGTGCTACGGAGAGGTTAAACCTATTGGACTAATTGAATTTGTGATATCGCTGTCGCCCGCGACTCCGTCCGCGCGGAATTATAAACAAACGTGAGTAGTCTATGTGTTGTTCCAGACTATGTTCTATATGTATGCCAAATTTCATCGAAATCCGTTCAGCCGTTCTGGAGATACCTTCATACATCCATCCATACATCTATACTTTCACATTTATAATATGAGTAATATAAATTTTTGTAAGTTTTAAACGATTTTCTTGTGTTGATTTCTGATATATATTTTTTGTAATTTTCTTCATTTTATATTTTAGATAAAATTATGAACAACTTAATTCTACTTTTTATGTCAATTTTTATGTAAAAAAAAATCAAGAACTTTTTTTAAAGTGGTTATTTTTTTGAAATTACTGACAATTTTTTTTAATCATTAGTACTGGATTTTAATATTTTCAACATTAAAATAAAACATTTGCAAGAATAACTAATATTAAGTCAAAACATTATAATCTTTATTCTACAACCGAGTAAAAATTAAATTCAATATTTTAAAAAATTAAAATTCAAACAAAATTCTTAATTTTGAAATTGGAATACAACATTGAAAAAAATAATATATAAAAACTTTTTGCAATTTATTTATGAGAAAATAAATATTAATTTTTGAAAATATTGAATTTAATTTTTATATTCCGAATTCGAAATTCAAAAATCTTTATATCACAAAATGAAACATTACATACATACAAGTTTGTATGTTTGTGTATGATTACATACATACATTGTTTAGTACGAAGCCTCGTGTCCTGCAAGTATATACAGGTCGTTTCCATCGTCACTGGATAACGTGTTGTGTAGTGTATGTGATTCTAACACAACAACTCTGAAATAAAATAATGACAATTTAAAAAAGCTTCGGTGGCTCAGAAGTTAAACACTTTACTTGTTGTGCAGGTCCTTGGTTTGAATTCAACCATGTACCTATGTTTTTATTAAATATATACATTTACTCAACATTCTTAGGGTGAATGAAAACATCGTGATGCTGCACATATCTGAGAAGATATTCAAAGATGTATGAAATCAACCCGCAGTGGGTCAGCATTGACTATGGGGTAGTCACTAACTTAGTGTAGACTCCGAGCCCCTCAGTGGGGACGTATAGTGAAGTGATGATGAGTTAAATTAAAACATAAACATAGATTTGAGGAAGATACTGAACAAATTTTTATGTATGAAGATTTGTATGTATAAAATTTTATTTGCCACATCCTGTAGCTTAAACCAGTAAACCGATATTGACGAGTGAGGTGTCTTTTCATTCGTATTCTTCTCCTGAATGTCATAGGAGTAGATTTAGTTGTTTTTTTATGTTACATTAGTTGTATGTGTGTGTATGGCTTGTGGTACATACTTGTCGTGTCCGAGGAGGCGGTATGCACGCGAGAGGTCTGTGATCTCCTGAGTGACGTCAGCATTGCGCAGAGAGCGGCCCTGCACGCCGTGACGGTGGAACGCTAGCACTGAGTCCGCCAGGCACACTGATATACATACAAATTTTATATTATAAGATGACAAACGAGCGAGTGCCTGAAATCGGCAGATGCGTTGCCTCTAATCGACGGAGGAGGGGATGCACAGAAAGAGAATATTTTTCCTTCCTATGCATCCTTTCAACCAGAAAATCCCCTTCCACTTCCCATGCTTTCCTTATAAGAAAAAGGATAGGAAGGGAAAGAGGATTTAAATTAGGCCTCCGGGATGTACACTCATCAGACAAAGTAAAAGTAAATTTTATATCACTTTGTTACCGTAACCTTTTGACTGCTGGTTTTATTTTGGACCACTTTATCTCTTACTATGCACAAGTGTGTATGAGAGTGTATGACTCACGTATGGTCTCGATGTGGAAGTCGAACTGTATCCTGGAGACGAGCTTGGTGCGACGTCTCTCCGCCAGCGCGGTGGGCAGCGCGGGGATTATGTCCACCATGTTCTCGTGACACACCAACACCTAAATATACAATAATCTTTTAAATTTACTGTCAAAAAAAGGCAAAAACTTCCCTTACTCCCCCATTTTTGATATTGGGAGGGGGGGGAGGATAATCTTCAAATGATACCCTAATATCTGGATGAGGAAGACTGAACTCTATAAAAATAATATAGTTAGTCAACTTTGAGGGCAATTGAAGAAAGTGCCGCGGTCTCCAAGGAACTTACCGGAATCCCCCAACAATTTTTTTTAAATATTATAATATAGCGGGCGACCACATAATTTCGCCCAAATGGCGAAGTTACCACTAGCCATAGAGATCCGCAATTGTAGATGCGTTACCTACATTTAATCGACGAAGTAGACGCACAGGAAAGGAAACATTTCTCCTATGCGTCCTTTCGTTCATCTCATCCCCTTCCGATCCTTTATTTATAAGAAAGGGGTGGACAGGGATAGAGGATTAATAGTTTAGTCATAAATATGAACTGACGGCATCCTTGTTGAGCTGGTGCACAGCCTTGAGGGTGTGGAGTCGCTCGGGTCGCGGGATGACGGTGTTGGAGCCTCCAGCACACGCCTCCAGCTCGTCTGAGTGGAACCACGTCGCACCTAACATATACATTTATTATTATTAAAATATAAGCGAAACTGTATAAATCTACTTTAAGCGTGGGTTTCCAAGACCAAAATTGCTTTTTATAGCATATTGTCATCTCTGCTTTGTTAAAGACATGGATGACAAAATCTTTATATAAAGTTCAAAAACATTTATTCTCCTTCTTACTAATATTATAAATGCGAATGTTTGAAGGTATCTCCAAAACGGCTGAATGGATCTTGATAAAATTTGGCATACAGTCAGCGTCATATAGATTTCGCTGTCGGGTAGAAAGAAATTTAAATAAAGTTAACAACAATTAGGTCAGACCATCGCGGGTGAAGTGAGTGTTATCTACATATGTGTACACTGGAATGTTTATTGCAATCGACCAAAAATTTGATGTAGTTTGGATATTGACATTCAGTTTTTTTTCTTTGTTTCTTAAATATAATCAGTATCAGTAAAAGGTAAAAATGTTATTTTTACCGGTACAAGTTTACCAAACATGAGTAATAAACAAATTACATGCCAATAGCATCGCTTTATCTCCTTCATTTTTGTTTGAAATAGAAAAGTACTTTAACGGTTAAACTCCTTAGTCCAAGGCAATATCAAAAAGTACCTAATAACTACGGCGATGTACGGGTATGAAACTAAAAAGCTTAAATTATTAAATTTAAAAAAAGTAGTGGCTTGAGATTTGAACCGCCGAGCTTACGTACCAACGGCGGCCAAACTAGCATATATGATGACAAACTTAAAGTAGATGTTGATTTTATCTACCTAATATCTGTCATGCGCGACTATATAAAGCGACGAATGGCAATCACTAGGTCAGTCGTTGTGAGACCTTTGTGTTGGCAAGTCGTGCCGGTGCTGCAGCAAGCCTTACAGAGTGCAACGAATGCTATATAGTAGTAGAAGAAGAAGAAGAAGAAGAAGAAGAAGAAGAAGAAGAAGAAGAAGAAGAAGAAGAAGAAGAAGAAGAAGAAGAAGAAGAAGAAGAAGAAGAAGAAGAAGAAGAAGAAGAAGAAGAAGAAGAAGAAGTGTCAAATGAATGTAACAGAAGTAGTTTATTCCAAATTGTACTACAAGTATATAGAGATAGAGTTCAATTTTGTCAAATGTTACGATATTTTTGCGCACCTTGACTGCTTCGTTACTTATGACGCTGTGGCTGCTACGATATTTTTGCGCACCTTGCATGTACCTTGACTTTTGTTGTACCGATATACTTGATTACTTTTGGTGTAACTATATATTTACATATGTTGTCTGTTACGATCTATATGACGCTGACTGTACATACAGAACATAGTCTGGAAGAACACAGCTTACTAGTTAAGTTTTTTTTTATTCCGCGCAGGCGAAGTCGCGGGCGACAGCTAGTTACAATATAATTACTTACCAGAGTTAATATTGATAAGGTTAAGTCTGAGCGGCTTCCTTGTCGCGCCGACACAAAGCAGCGGATACTCCAACTCCGGAGTTATTATCAACTCGAATGCAGACAGCGGTGTGGGGAGAACACATTCTATGTTCTGTAAAATAAGTAATACAATCAAAAAAAAAAAAATTACAAATTTAACTTCAAACATTGTTCTAAGATACAGAAAAGGTTGTATGAAATTACTTAAAATATAGGTTTTGACACTAAAAAGTACTTCAACAGTCCTAAATATTATAAAACTTCTTTAGACAATATAATCAAACTTCTTTATTCCAAAAAATACACTCGGCAGTAAAAAAAACTACTACCCCGACAAGAAAAACCTACTCCTCCGGCAATAGAAAACTATTCACCGGCAATAGAAAACTACTCCCCTTGGCAATAGAAAACTACTCAACCCGGCAATAGAAACCTATTCCCACCGGCAATAGAAAACTACTCCCCCGACAATAAAAAACTACTCCCCCGGCAATATAAAACTACTACCCTCGGCAATAGGAAACTACTCCCCTCAACGTACCTTGAGCAGCATGAACTTCCTGAGCGGGTCGTACCACTGCATGAGGAAGAGTCCGGCGGGTGTCGCGCCGCACAGGTACTTGTAGCCGTTGTATGGGTTGCGGGCGACTGCGCATCTCATGCAACCTACATACATACAAACATACAGGAAGGGTGTTTTAATATAAATACTGTGAAATACAGTGAAGTCGTTTAATCTAAACAATTAATGAAATTTCATAGACTCTAATTTTATTTATTGAATAGATTTCATTGGTTGAATATTTATTTTTTTGTCTATGGATTTATAAAAACTTTTTTTAAAATTAAGAAACATGGCTGTTTCATGCTACATCGTATATTTACATATGTATATAAAGGTTTATATATATAATAGGTAATATATATAAAGTTTTTTTTATTTTTATTTACAAATGTACATTTATCTGATGTTCTTACGGCGAAGGAAAACATCGTGATGTTGCACATATCTAAGAAGAAATTCAAATTTGTGAAGTAAACTCGCAGTGGGTCAGCATTGACTATGGCCTAGTCACTAATTTAGGGTAGGCTCCGAGCCTCTTAGTGGGACACTGATGGGGGATAGCTGATGACATACCTCTAGTATCAGGCACACGTGTAGTGAGTGCGAATCTCCTGGGCAGCAGTCTTGGTGGTAGAACTCTTAGGGAACGTCCACCTCGGGCGCTGCCGATCAGAGCTAGTAGCTCATGTCGGTATAGTGATGGTGTTTTACCTGGAACACGCAAGATTAATAAATAAACTGGAGATCAGGGGCATAGAGTTTTTGTTTGAGGGTACTTGACCGCATTTGGGGGGCTTAAACCGTGAACTGGTATACCAAAGTGTAAAGGATATTTTTTGGGGAATTTAGAGAATAGGTAAACTGAATACTACAGATATGAATTTTTAATAAATAATTATAAAAGAGTTTTAGACAATTTTGTGAAATTGCTATTCGACATTAATATGGACGGCACTGTACCATTTGCATTAAGTTGTTATTACTAACCAGACAGTGACATTAGGACATCTTTGATGACATGCATCCAGATTGTCCTTCTCGGACAGAGCTGGTCCATGGCCGTCTCGTGCAGTTCGTTCAGGTTCAACGTGTAGATACCCTCTTCAGCGCCTGCGGGAAATATCATAGCAATATAAACTTACTGCAACAAGCGCCTGTCAGAAATTTCATAGCAATATACATTTACTACAATAAAACCATATCCTAATAATAAAATTGCCGTGACAGTAATTTTAAAACTTATATTTGTTTTTTTTTTACAAAAATATAACTCACCTATCAGTATATGCTGGTCCCTCGTGTCAGGATGTATCCATGACGCAGTGCAGTTTATCCTGAGTGGGCAACCGTTGAACACCTACAACAATGTCTTATTAATATTATAAATGCAAAAGTTCAGATGTATGGATGCAGTTTGTTAGAAGGTATCATCACAACAGCTGCATGGATCTCATTGGAATTTATTTTTATTGCATAGATGTAGAACATAGCCTGGAAGAACATATAGGCTAGCTTAAGTTTTTTTTTTTAGTTTCGCGCGGACGGAGTTGCAGACAACAGCTATAGTAATTATCATTACCTTTTAGACATCATTAGTTTAATTACAAAGTCAAGTGTCAGAATTAGTGAGGGGACATAAACGTCGTCATTTTAGTAAGGCTAATATTGCGCCAATACACCGGCACACTGTCGGATTTTCTTCCTAACAATACATAGAAAATTACTGTAGAGGAATCTTGTTACCTTTGAGAAGCACGCCCCCATGTGTACTTTGGGAGTGGGGGGCAGGCCGTTGGGTGCGGGGCGTGGCGGCGTGCGCGTGCGCCGCGACCTCGCACGCCTCGGGGGCACAGGCGGTACAGACACACTGACAGCTAAATCACAGACATTACTGAATTACAAACTTACTAACATTATAAATGCGAATATTTACATGGGTGAATGGATAGATCTTTGAACATAGTCTGGAAGGACTCGTAAGCTACTAATTATTTTTTTTAGTAGCGTGTGAACGGAGTCGCGTCGATATTAAGTACTAAACAATGATAATTACCTTCACCGTCAACTTTAGCTTTATCTCTCTGACTATCAGATAAACTTCTTTGCCGTTGACTTATCTTCATTTCTTCATCTGTCAACTCTTTTCCATCTCTTACTTCTTCCACCAACTTGAATATCCCATCTACTGATGATGTCTTTCTCTTCTCCAATTCACACTGACAGAATTGACTTAAATCAATCCCTGCGGTGACCGTATCCGAATTGTGCCTATTATGTCTCTTCCTATGTTCATAAGTTTTCTCTTCCATGTTCAAACTGATATCAATTTTTCTACACAAATCTTCATCAGACGTTGTCCCGTTCTCCAATTTATCCGTTTCTGATATTCTTAAACGATTAGCTATTTGTAAAGCTCTGAAATTGGATACTGATATCTTTTGCTTTTTACAATTATCACAGTAAATGATACCCGATTCTTGATTTTGATTGGAACAATTTCTATAATAACTCAGTATATCTCCGTTTGAATTACAAGCGTCACAGGAACATTTTGATGCGACAGATCTTTGTAAATCACTTAACGTATTATTATCTCTAGGTTCAGGTTTCGGGCATTGTCCGCATTCGCAATTAGCATTCCTAACTTGTGGTGAATTATTTAGGTCATTTTCCGGTTGATCCGCGAACATAATTTCTGTTTCTCCCATTTTCCTACATAATGGATCGTTTATAGATACGTGAGATGCAGCAATTGGACTTTGAAAGTTTGATGCTAAACTCTGATATATATTTGTCGTTGAACTGTTTAAATAATTCTGTTTTAATTGTATACATTGTGATAGATGTTGGTCGTGTATGGACAATACAGAGTTACCCTGCGCCATGTTTGCTGTCTCCGCTGTCAGTGGTAGTGTTGCCCTGTGAAAATAATATTTTTACCAATTTTTTTGATAGTTTTTTTTTCGTAGTTTGAATGCAGTGCGGTTAGGATTTTTTTTTGTAAGCTCAGGTTGTGCTGTTAGACACAAAAAATGATATGTGATTTTATTTATATAAATATTTATGTTTTTTTTTAATTTGTTTTTTTTTTAAATAACAAGTGGTGCTGGTGGGATATTTTTTTTATCAAATTGTAAAAGTACAATACTTTTAATATATTTTAAATATGTTTTTAAATTTTTTATTTTATCTTTAGTAAGTCTTATTTATAGATTATAATAAATACTTTTTATATAGCTTACAATATAACCGATTTCCCTTAAACATAACTTTAAATTTCATGCAAGTGCTAAAAACACTTATTTATGTATTGCGATTAAATTTTTCAACGTCAAGCGAATACTTTAAAAGCTTAAAGCACTAATATGACAATTAATTACATCATAGTATTTGTAATCACTTAACACGTTAAATGCCACGAATTTCACGTACTAAAATGAACTGGCAATGTGTTAACAAAGGTATTATAATAAATGATTAAATCTATTAAATTTCTAATGTAATTAAAAGTCATAAATCTTCATCAACACATAAAATAATGATCGTTATAAATATTGTTCGAAATAAAATCAAGTATACGAAAGAGATATAACCGTCTCTTTCTTTCTTAAGCAAATATATATATGAGAAAGCAGTTCAACTATCTACATATGTTAATCTAATTCTATTCTTAAACTGTTTTAATATTTAAATACGTCTACTGTTAATACTGCAAATACATAAATGTATTATATAAACTCTTTTATATACTTATATATATACTTAATGTTACTTCGAACTTTTTCAACTATACTAAGTTATAAATCAACACTTAAACTTTAAAAAGAAACGTTAATATTAGACGGCTTTTAATAAATCTTATCTTATTATCTTACTAATATTATAAATGCGAATGTTTAGATGGATGTTTGTTTGAAAGTATCTCCAGAACGACTGAAAGGATCTCGATGTAATTTGGCATAAATATAGAATATATTCTGGCAGAACACATAAGCTATTAAGTTTTTTTTTAATACCACGCGAACGAATACGTGGGCAACAGCTAGTTATTTAATATTACTTATATAAATATTGTTGGAATCACCAACATTTAGTAGGAATTTTAAAATAAAATTATGACAACATTTAGTTAATTGTGAAATCGGTTTATAACTTGGCAACACTGTTCACTTTCCTTTTCATTAAAATACACCTATTTTACTATATTTTTCCTTGTCATAATAAAACATATACAGTCCAAACTTTCGCCTTTATAATATTAGTAAGAAATGTTTAAAGGTATCACCAGAATTTGACAGATCTCAGATGAAATTTGGCATACATATAGATCATTCTGGAACGCATAGGTTTTTTTTTAATTCTTCGCGGACAGAGTCACGAGTGACGAGCTACCGTAAGATATTTTAGTATTCACAAATTTTTGTACATAACATTTGTTAATAAAATTGAAGTATTGATTTAGTTAAATACTATCACCATATAATTTTTGTCATGCAGCGTATAACCTCTCTGTTTACCTTAGCATTAACTCTTCGTCAATATATTGCAAGAGGCTCCTAAAACAAGAGAGACATCTTACAAACATGTGCCGGCGATGTGCCGTTATCAACTCTATTTATATGTACGTATGGTCTAAAGTTGTTATAAATATTCACAGGATGTTTGGTTTTTCACGAAATAATAAAAAATAAAGAAAAATTATCTTTAATATTCAATTGTGAGTTGGACTTTTCTTTAATATATAATATTTAATAGTACAATGTAAGAAATATTAGGCAATGAGAGAAAAAGAGAGAAATAGAGAGAGAGAGAGACACATATAATTTGTAAGCGAAACAAAGCAGTTATTTTAGGTTACTTAAATATTTGAATCTTCGATATTAAATAAACTCTATAAGTGGATTAGGATTAATTAATACAATTTTATCAATAAATTTTCTTAATGTCAAATTTTGAGGTTATCCTTTTTTACTCGACAGAAGTAAAATAAAAAAAAACTATCACAGCTTTTTTAGCAATTTTAAACCATACTTAAATGTGCAATGAGATTGATGGACAGATAAAAAAGCTTATACTCCTATTCCCCCCATTTTGTACTTACCTGACATTTAGGCGGGAAACTTTGACATGTCGTCTGAATGTGTTTTCTAAATTGAACATGACATTTGAAAATCCACTATTAATAATACATCTATTAAGATTCATTATTACGATAATTCATCTATTTATCGAAAAAATCTAGACTATATTTGAAGTTAAAAATGTTATTTACATTATGTAGTTTATTTTAATACCTATTTATTTACATAAGAAATATTGTAAAAATCCATTTTGTTAAATTTAATTGTTCAATAAAAAAATTATTTGGACCCTAAAATCAATATACGACCTTACAAAGATTTGACATATCGATCTTTTGTTTCTTAATATTTTTTTTTATATGATAAGGTGGCAAACGAGCGAGCGGCCACTTGAAATCGCTGAAATAGCGAAGTGACCGTTGCCCATAGACATACGCAATTGCATGTGCTTTGCCTACCTATAACTTTCCATAGAGAATTCAAAACTTCTACTAATCTCTGACAACCACTGTAGATTTTTTTTTATAAGAGTAGGGGGCAAACGAGCAACGAATCGCCAATATTATTTGATCCGACGACATGGACCGACCCATGGACATCCGCAACGCCAGAGCAACCGCAGATGCGTTGCCGGCCTTTAAGGAAGGTGTACGGTCTCTTCTTGAAGGCCTCTAAGTCGTAACTATTTGGAAATACCGCTGAGGACAGGGTATTCCACAACGCGGCTGTGCGAGGTAAAAAGTTACGCGAAAATCTCGTCGCTGTGGAATGCCAGCCATCGAGATGGAAACGATGGAATATGGCGCTCTGTCGACTCGTACGATTATAAGCATGATTCATGTTTTAAGACCTATCATTTCAGTGTCATGTAAGCCAATGGCATAAAGCCATGTCCATGCATTTCCTGATAACTTTAGTGTGTCTATTTAAGATAGATTAGTTTGATTACGAAAGCCAAGTATCGAATTAATTTTGTATGAAGATTAATGTTGTACTTAATGGACGGGTGCTATAGTGTTGAACCGTACGCGCTATAACAACTATAAACTATCGAGTATCGATCTTGTAATAAAATTAATCAAACAAATACGCTATGTATCGCACATTTTTTTTTTAAATTAAAATATTAGCAATTTTTTTTAAAATTTACTAATATTTCTTTTACCATTCCAACTAAGCTTTAGGCTTGTGCTAGGATATGGTTTACGAGAATAGTCGAATGGCGGGATTCGGTCCCCCGACTTCGTGGTCGGAAATCCGTACCCTTAACCATAAGGCATTATTCTATTGACGCTTTTTAATTGAAAAAAAATTAAATTAAAAAAAAAATCACATACATTTTTTTTGTTTGTCAACACCACAATTTTTAGTTTAATATTTTATTTATGTAGTTACGAAGAATAATTTAGGTGTAGAAAGAAACAGTTTTATTTATATTGTAATTGAAAAACAACAATCAGGATATTTTCGATTGCGAGTTCAATGAGAACATACATCGAAAATCGATTCAAAATCGATTTTACTCAACCCATATCTATTGAATAGTCAAACTAATCTATCTTAAATAGACACATTATGATGCATTCTTTTCACTCAACAACATCGCCTATTGCCGTATATCGAATTATTACAAGTCTAAAGAAAACAAATCCATACAAATTACTATAAGATCTTTTAAGATATGTTACTTTGTCGACTGATGGATAAAATATTAATTTCGAAATATATAAAGTGCGCGTGGAGCACTTGACTTGCAATCTGCAGGTCCTGGGTTCGTATCCCGCCATGTACCAATATGTTTTTCGATTTCCGATTTACATATGTACATTTATCCGACGTTCTTACGGTGAAGGAAAACATCGTGATGCTGCACATATCTGAGAAGAAATTCAAAGATATGTGTGAAGTCAACTCGTACTTGGCCAGCGTGGTTGACTATGGCCTAAACACCCTTAACTTAGAGTAGGCTCCGAGCCCCACAGTGGGGACGTGTAGTGAGCTGATGATGATATAAAGTGCAAACTAATGTGACACTAGACCAAAGTTCTGGGACCTGATACCAAAAACCAGGGACTGGTGATCCATAACACAGGGTACCTTAGTTTGGCCACCAGTCCCCTGCCCATAGGGGATATATTTTTTAAGTAAACCAAAGGTACTATAACAGATTAGCGCCTTCGATGTGAATGTCAAAAAGTATCACGAGATCTTTGACACACTTGTATGTCGTTTTCTTCATCTGATAGTTTTTTTTATATCATAAGGTGGCAAATGAACAAGCGGCCGAAATAACGATACGACCGCTGCCCATTAACATCCACAATTGTAGATGCGCTGTTACTCTTTATCAAACGGAGGAGGGGGACGCACAGACAGACAAATTTTCCCCTACCTATTTTTTTATAAGAGAAGGGGGCAAACGAGCGGCGGGAACACCGAGGTGATCAACGACACCCATGGACATCTACAATACCAGAGGAACTGCAAATGCGTTGTCGGCCTTTAAGGGTATGCTCGCTTCTTGAAGTGCCCCAAGTCGTATTAATTTGGAAATACCTATACGTCTCCTTCTCCGTCAAATCCACTTTACATCAATGTGGAAAGGAAAAATGGGCTAAAATTAGACCTCCGGCACGCATAAGTAGTAAAAAAGCGATAGCTATGTAATTTATTTTATTAGACTTGTAATAATTCTCATAGCGAAGTGATAAAAATTTGAATAAAAGTCATATACGTAACAAATATAACAAAACTGTCACACAGATAAACAAACAGACACAAAACACCCATTAATATGTTAGAAATCAAAGGAAAATCCGCAAAACCATAGATAATTAACATCAAAGAAAAAAAAAGAAAATCTGTAAATTAAAAAAAAAATACCTTAAACTCATTCGCATAATATCATCACCAGTGATCACCCGACACCACTTGCTATAAAATAATAATATACAGAAAATAATATAAATAAATAATGACAGACCACAGACAAGTCATTTTCGATCTATGGATTACGACTCCCAAAAAAAAAATCTTAATTTTTACACATCTACAAAACCATAAAGCAAATAAATCCATAACTTTTTAATTACATTTTTATGATTTTACTAATATTTCTTTTTACCATTCCGACTAAGGGAACGTACCCATACTACGTGACCCGTTTAGGGGAGGGGGGTTTGGAACGGAGTCTTTAAAATACTACAGTCAGTCACGGGAGCGGGGGGGTGGCTCAGGTTTTAGTCACGTAGTCGTTACTTGTTTTTTTTTCATAATACATAATTCACTGGTAATTTAAGTATGCATGCAGTCTTATGCTATAAAGAAGAGTATGAGCCAAATTATTATTTTTTTCAATTTTCGCCTGTGAAATGATTAAAATTCATAATTATGAATTACTACGAAAAACTAAAGGGAGGGAGAGTCTTGGCATTTACTACGAGTGGTCAACGAGGGGAGGGAGTTGTCGAAAAAACTAAAAAAAGATCACGTAGTATGGGTAAGTTCCCTTAGCTCTAAGCTTGTGATAGGATATGGTTTACAATAGTAGAATGGTGAGATTTGAACTCTCGACTATATTATCGGAAATCCGTACCCTTAACCATTAGGCTATTGGCGCTTCTATATACTAATAGACTTAGAGCCCCATTTTTTGGGGGTGTCAGTAATATACTTTGGGGGTCGTAATTAAGATTGATAATAACAGTAAGAAGTATAGACAATAAGAAGCGATAGATAAGAAACATATCGTCACTTACTTCTCACTGGATGGCATCGTATCTGTGGATAGATCTTGCAGTTCCTGTGACAAGGGGTTGTGTTTTGGACAACTCATGAGAGAGGCTACACTCCAGTCGTCGCTCGTTTGTCTATGGAATTCAGCTGAAATTACGATGATTAAAAACTTTTAAAAAATCTGTTTGGATTAAAAAAAAATTAAGTCTTAATTTAAAACCTATTTATAAAGGACCAATTATTATTATGTAATTTTACATTTTTTTATATTACATAAGTAGTTTTAGTCATTATTAGTTAGAATTCTTTGTCGCGAATGACGCGCTTTCGTTACAAAGTCAATTGTCAGGATTAGTGAGGGGACATAAACGTCGATATTTTTGTAAGGCTAGTGCTGCCAGTACACCGGCAGTGTCGGATTTTCTTCATAACAATATCAAACACTATATTTTATTAGAATTAATAAAAAGTTAATGTCTTAGATTGAATGTCAACGGAAACTAATTTGGAAATTATTAAAACAATGTTTTGTAAGCTTGAATAAAATAGCATATATTTACACCATTTTATTACTGATTCAAGTATCTATACAGTCCTATTTACAGTTATAAGTATAGTTAGGAAGAAAATCCGACAGTATGCCGGTGTACTGGCGCAACACTAGCTTTACTAATATGTCGACGTTTATGTCCCCTCACTAATCATTCTGACACTTGAAAAGTAACGAAAGCACGTCGCTCGTGACAAATGATTTTAATAAATAATGTCTAAAAGTATAAAACCAATAAACATATACTAATATTGCCAATTTATATAAAACATGATGAACGGACTAAAACTGTCTCGATAACCCTACTACATATAAAACTAGAATTTTTCTTACACTTACCATTTCTTTTAACTGTATCACCATCACAACTTCTACTAACATCAGCACTGAAATTAATCACTTGTGGTATAGACTTTAATCCCATTTCTTCATCTTCATCCAAATCCACCACCGGCGAATCATCATATACCCTTCTTTCTGGGGGTACTTCACCCAGTAACCTCGGGTTTGGTATTTCATCTAGCAATGATGTGGGTCTTGACACACGGGTGACAGGTTTTAGGGCTCTCGGTGGAGCCCTATCTGCCAGACTACGAGGTCTCGAGGGCGCAGCGCCAGGTATATCGGGCTCTCCTAATACTCTTCGACCACGGCCGGTGTGTTTTGATGCTATACGTTGTGGTACGTTTGATATTGCCTGAAAATAAAGCAAAATCATAATAAAATTGATGATTTAAAAATTAATTTCTACAAAACTTCTTTTTTGTGTAATTGCTGCTATATTATCAGCAGGCGCTATTTATATATTAGGAATTTTTGCCGCGATAATATTAGCAGGCGCTATTTATTTCCTACTAAAGACAACTCGAGGTAAACTCTCACCCCGTCCTCATCCAGCTCCTGACTGCTGCAATGGCTTGGCGGGTTGGAGTACTTCTGTAGCAGTTCTATCGCCAGCCGCTTGCTCATCTCTTGCTGGAAGAATGGGTGCTGCGGACAGACAACATAACTTTTTAGTACTTCAAAAAGGAAGAAGAACTTTAAAAAAGAAATTTTCATGATAAATAATGAAATTAAAACATACATTTCGTACAAATTACGTAGCTGATAACGAAAAGTCAAATATTTTTTTTTTATCTTTATGTATGTCTGCAAGAACACGTTTGTTCCAGGTAATCTGCGGAACGGATGGACCTATTTTAACGGCACTTAGACTGAAAGATAGCATATTACGAGTAGACTAGTTTTAATATATTCTTCTTCGCTGAAGAAGTCTCAGGCGACTGTTAGGTACTAATAAATAACCGTGTACTTACTTGCAGCAGTTTATCAGCGGTGGGTCGTTTCTTTGGATTCTTAGTGAGTGCGAGCTTGAGGAAGGCGTGGAAGACCTGGGACCAGCGTTCACGTTCCTTGAGCTGCGGCGGCTTGAAGCCAGACTTTGACATCAGGAAGAGAACCCGCATCGGATGCAGCTCAAACATCGGCGGCTGGAGTTCTGCTAATTCTGGAATAAGGAGAATGTTCTAGATGTTAAATTAGTTACTAATATTATAAATACGAATGTTTAAATGGATGTTTGTTTGAAGGTATCTCCAGATCTTGCTGAAATTTGACATGTAGAACATAGCCTGGAATAACATATAGGCTAATTAAGTTTTTTTTTAATCCCACGCGGACGAAGTCGCAAGCTACAGCTAGTAGAATATAAATAAATTGAATAGTCTTATTATAAGTTGTTAATTATAATAGTTTATTTTAAGTAATCTTACTGTTGCCGACAGATACGGAACTTTTTAGACTTTTTTATTCATAATTGTTATATTTTTGAATTTAGAACTTTATATGTTTTTTCTTCCTTTTTCTCTATTTTTAAACCATCAGTTGTAAATATATTCTTGTAACAGTGCGTGCTTTTCTCCTTATTTCTAATAATTCTATTTAATATTTTCATTTTATCTTTTTATTATATAACATAATATTCCAAAATTCATCTTAATCCTAACGCTCTTCCATCCTTACATATTCGGTCGTCTTTACTTACCAATGGCAGTTATCCCACAAGCCCAGATATCACAGAGCTGGTTGTAACCACCCTTCCTTTCTACAGCAGCAACCTGGAAATTATTTATCATTATTGCCTTCTACTATACTTTTTTATGGATTTATTTGTTACGGCCTACAGTCTAAATTCCTGAACCGATTTTGGTGAATGAGGTGTCATTCGATTCGTCTTCTTCAACAGAGTGTCATAAGGTATATTAAATCGATACAAAACACATATATTAAACGAGAGAGATGAAATTCTGAAAAAATAGAAAAAAGTTCGAGTTCAAATCTCATTCCCCATTTTTTTTTATTAATTGCAAAATCTTTTTTTGGATGATTTCGAGTACATTCCTAACTGCTAAAAATGTGACATGTAAATTTTTTTTTTATGTAGATAATAAATATAAAAATTTTGTTTCAAAACGGCAGCCAATAGATGGCGCTATTTTATCTATTATAGCATTATTTTTCTGATTAGGGAACATACCCATACTACTTGACCTACTTTTTTAGTTTTTTCGACCCCTCCCTCTCCTCGGTGACCACTCGTAGTACATGCCAAAGCCTTTAGTTTTTACGTAGTAATTCATAATTATGATTTTTAATCATTTCACAGGAAAAAAAAAATTGGCTCAAACTCCTCTTTATAGCATAAGACTGCATGCATACTTAAATTACTAGTGAATTATGTATTATGAAAAAAATAACAAGTAACGACTACGTGACTAAAATCTGAGCCCCCCCCCGCTCCTGAGAATGACCGTAGTATTTTAAGGACTTCGCCCCCCCTGAACGGGTCACATAGTATGGGTATGTTCCCTTAGTCTTACCTCGGGTGCCATCCAATACGGCGTCCCAATAAAAGATTTTCTTTTATTAATAGTAGCTGTAATCTGCGCAGATACGCCAAAGTCCGCTAATTTCACATCTCCGCATTCAGTCAGCAATATATTAGCACCTTTGATATCCCTGTAATTAAAGTTAACCAACTACAAAAGTGTTTTTTCTATACAGACAGGAACTGAGAACTTAAACTTGACATCATACTCATTCAGTCACTTCTTCCACATTCATACATCTACGTGTATAGAAAAAACATGGCAATATTTGATCGATAGAGATAAAACGCCATGAAATAAAAAAAAATCTGTCTGTTACATGTACTATTCGATAATTCATCGAATCTGAACAAGCTAGAGTCTTTAAAAGGCTTCACTAACCCGAGTTTCTTGATTATAAAGGTGTTTGTTTGAATGTATCTCCAGAACAGCTCCAAGGATTTTGAAGAAATTTGACATAAATGTAGAACATAGTCTGGAAGAACACATAGGGTCCTTTTTTTAATTTGGACGGAGTCGCGGGCGATAGCTAGTACAATATAAAGATACTATAGTATTTTTCAAATATCTTAGAGGCTCAAGGTCATCTGCATTGCGCTGTGCCTTCCATGCATTCCTTTATGTCCTATACATCAATATTGTGTATCGACTCGTACGATGTTCAGAGCCGTTAATATACTTGAAAACCTCTACATACCTATGCATCTTCCCCATGCTATGTAGATACGAGAGACCGGTGAGGGTCTCTCGGCACATGTAAGCTATCTGCAGCTCTGTCAGCGGGCCGGTTACATGATAGATATCCTGGAATGAACAAACATACAAGTTCAACATAAACATATATGCATGGAAATTGCATCCGTTTTTATATTAATGTTGCAAATAAACAAGCAGCCATCTGAATTCGCCGAAATGATTAAGCGAACGCAGCCCATAGACATCAGCAATTGTAGATGCATTGCCTACCTATATTCTACAGAGGAGAGAACGCACAGAAAAAGCATATATCCTTTTCCTATGCGTCCACTTCTCAGTCAAATCTAATTCTTTTAAGAAAAGTGGTGGGAATGGAAAGGGGAATAAAATAAGGCCTGTGGGTCGCATACTCATCAGACTTTACGCAGAATTTCTTCCTCTTGACGCCTGTCTTCTGTGTGGTCGTGGTATTGCACCAGCTGAACCTAACTCTCACCCTAACACAATAGACTAAGTATCCACATTACCTGCAAACTGCCTCCACCGCAGTATTCCATGCTGATCCATAGCTTGTCTCTGCGCAGATACGAGCCATAGTATGCGACGATATTGGGATGCCGGCAGTCTTTCATCATCAGAATCTCCTGCTGGATGATGGCGAAGTCATCACCCGGCTCCAGCTTTATCACCTTGATGGCGGCAAGCTCGCCATTGCCGTTGAGACGTTTTGCCTGGAATTAAAAGTTGTTCATGGATTACGAAGTCTTTTAAATTATTATAGCTACATATTAGCAGAACCGACAATAGTTAAACATATGTGTTTCGTGTCTGATTTCTCTATATCTCTAGTTTGTAATAGCAATAGAAAAACTTAATCTATCGTTCAGAAGACAATCAATCCATTTATCTTCCTCTCATAGAAATTAATTAAAATCGATTTTTAAAATCAATTGTTGGGTTATGTTAGGTTAGAATTTTTTTGTAATTTCCAATTGTTAATAAAACAATTGTTATTTGTCTATTTCAAATACATTTTAAATGTTCTGTATGACTTTGTTGAACATTTTCTAAGATGACGTCTATTCTAAGATGGGTCTTGACCTTCGACAACATGTCTCCACTTTCCCCAATCCCGGACGAGATCCCCGATCTCAACCCATTCCCGGACATTTAGCTCCCGAAGATCTTTAACATTTTAAACATAATGTTATATTAATCCAAGTTTAAATTGTTGATCAAATTAGGACCTGTTATGTACTTGCATTCCTAATCGATGGTCCATTGGTCTATTGGTATACTTAAATCAACAAAGTGGTCGACCGAACGCATTCGGGTCATCGCCTACGCTGTAGCTAATTATTCCTCCCTACACCGACTACATATAGAAGATATAATTGTGTAATTGATAATTTATTTATTATAAACTAGCTGTTTCCCTCCGTCCGCGAGAAATTAAAAAAAACTTAATTATTAGCCTATGTGTTCTTCCAGACTATGTTCTAATGCTGTGCGAAATTTCAGCGAGATCCATGGAACCGTTCTAGAGATACCTTCCATCCAAACATTTGCATTTATTTTATTAGTAAGATAAATAATCACTGTAATAGTAATAATGGTAGATGTCAGCAACAAAAACATTTGCTGCCCAAATGGGCAAGCTCTACCTGTGCAATACCACGACCACACAGAAGACACGCGTCAAATAGAAGCAAGGAGGGAAGGCTTATTTTTAGTCCCCTTTCAACCCTTTTCTTATAACGGAGGAGGTGACGTATAAGAATGGGAAATATCCTTTACTGTCCACTTATCCGTCGATTAAAGTCAACACATCTGCAATTGCGGATGTCTATGGAGAGCGGTGGCTTCGCTATTTCGGCGTATTCCATCAATGGACAGAGAAGGGGGACACAAAAAGGATAAGTATAGTAGGTTACGGTCTTCGTTATAATTTCAATGAGACAAACAGACATGCATATATGGTTGCATGCTATCAAAACGCCAGTTACATAATGTCGGAACATTGCGACGACTCTACCGGGAAGATATCAATTTGTGATTGTAATAGCCGGCCTAGTTGTGCCTGTACTGTATACTTTGGGTTTCCACTGGTCGAAACTAGTATACGAGACAAATTGTCATCTCTGATTTTTTGTTGATCTTGACAAACAAGTTACGAGCGACTGGTTTTAGGGACTAAAGAACAAATTGTGCATGACGCTTGCTTGTGTATGAAGCTCTATGACATTGTATTATGTAAGTTGCTTAGCTACTTAAATCGCCAGGTTTTGGAGATTTATGTTGCCTTCTATATTATGAATTTAAGAGCTAAAATACAGAGAATGTTTGCTGCTATGACAAGTATTCATCATCAGTTCACTATACGCCTCCACTAAGGGGCTCGGAGCCTATTCGAAGTTAGTGACTAAGCCATAGTCAATGCTGGCCCAATGCGGGTTGAGTTCTCACATATCTTTGAATATCTTCTCAGATATGTGCATCACGATGTTTTCCTTCACCCTAAGAGCGTCGGATAAATGTACAGATGTAAATCGAAAAATACATTGGTACACGTCGGAATTTGAACTCAGAACCTGCAGATTACAAGTAAAGAGCTTCGCCCTTGAGCCACCGACGCTTATCGACAACTATTCGACTTATTTATGCAAGTATCAAGTGAGATTTCACGGAACTGACTAGTAAATAAACGTCCCTAACTGTTCTTGCTTGCTTGTGCTATTCCTATCTGTACGAATTAAATTAAGGATTGCGCACTCACGCGTAAGTGATTAAAGTGACGAGTTAATTTGCAACAGTTCAGAGACGGGGTCGACGAAACATTTACGAGTTAGTCCAAGTAACAGACAATGTTGCACATTGATTTGATTAATCATGTCACGCAATCGATAATCGATTCAAGTATCGATTTTTTATTCGTCATCAATCATTTATCAGTATAATAGCTGACTTAAAAAAACGTAATTACTACAACGAAGCCAAATTTCATAATCCTCATCCTACCAGTTTCTGATAAAGTATGGATAAGGTAGGCTACTAAACAAAAGAAATGGATAGGAAAAATACTTTTCTCCTGTTTGGCCTCTCCTCTGTCTTAATAAAAAGTTAATAGATAATCCATAGCTTAAATATATAGCTAGTTTGAACTCCGACAAGACAAGTTCACAAGAAATCCAAAAAATAGCCCAAAAACCCCGTTGTTATATTGTTGTCTCTATTTCGTCAAAGGTAATGACAAGGATGCAGATATGTTTTACACAGAGATTTTAGTCTCAAAACCCTACGGTTAATCAGTTTGTGCAGGTGAAACTGCAACAAAGGTATTACGTAAGCATTCCATTTGCCGAAACAAAGGCTTATCACAAGGTCGTGATATCCGATGATAAGGGGGATAGCGTGCATTTAGTGTTACGATAACTATAAATGAGATTGGCCACTTTATTGTCAATGCATTGATACAGGTTAAATACTTTGAGTTATATTAAGGTGCGTTCCACCATCGAAAAAAAACAAAGCATTAACAGTCATTTGACATAACCGAATATATTTGTGCAGGTGATTAACGAGTTTAAATGATTAAAAGGAATTTACGAAAGTCACAAATAAAATTGTCTGTCTGCCAGTTTGTCTTTTTTTTATATCATAAGGTGGCAAACGAGCGAGCGGCCACCTGAAGTCGCTAAAATAGCGAAGTGACCGTTGCCCATAGACATACGCAATTGCATATTCGTTGCCTACCTTTAATCGACGGAGGAGAGGATGCACAGAAGGAAAAGATCTTCCCTTCCCATGCATCCTCTCATCCGGAAAGTCCACTTCCACTTCCCATCCTTTCATTATGAGAAAAAGGGTGGGAAGGGAAAGAGGACTAAATTAGGCCTCCGGGACGCACACACATCAGATGAAACGCAGAATAGCTTCCACTTGACGCGTGTCTTCTGTGTGGTCGTGGTATTTCACCGGGCGAGAAGGGCCGATTCGTGCGAAGATATTAAAGCGGGCTCTACCACTGTTGAAAAATCTGTCTTTCCGCAAAATCTGTGTTTGTGCCGGTTAACCTTCGAAACGGCTGGACCTATTTTAATGGAACTTTTATTGGAAGGTACCTCAAGTATACTGGAGTAACATCGGCTATTTTTTTTAATTCTACGATGACGAAGTCACAAGTCACCGTTAGTTTTGTAATTAAAACTATGGAATATAACATATTTTACTCCTTTTCTCCGAGTATTAGTTGCTGCGCGTATAATTTAAACGTTTAATCAATTTAAGAAATGTAACCTACTAATATTTGGCTACGCGCAGTGTAGTACTAGCCAAGTGGGACACCAGATTGATTAGGTTCTTGTAAATAATACCATCCGGCATTGTGTGTTACTGAAGGAACTACAGGAACGTCGGTGACTCAGTGGTCAAGCACTTGACTTGCAATCCGCAGGTCCTGAGTTCGAATCCCGCCATGTACCAATGAGTTTTTCGATTTCCGATTTACATATGTACATTTATCCGATGTTCTTACAACATCGTGATGCAACCTGCACATATCTGAGTCGAAATTCAAAAGATATGTGTGAAATCAACCCGCACTTGGCCAGCGTGGTTGACTATGGCTTAATCACCCTTAACTTAGGGTAGGCTCCGAGTCCCTCGGTGGGGACGTATAAAACACAATTTAAAAAAAAATACCGAGCAAAGCGGTCATCCAGGTACTGTACTTTATGCATCTCTATCAGCCAACATATATGAGTTCCCTACCTTCTTATTGTTAGGAAGAAAATCCGATACTATACCGGTGTACTGGCACAACACTAGCCTTACTAAAATGTCGACGTTTATGTCCCCTCACTAATCATTCTGACACTTGACTTTGCAATGTAAGCGCGCCATTCGCGACAAAGGATTTAATCTTATATATAAAATTCTCGTGTCACAATTTTCGTTCCCATACTCCTCCGAAACGGCTTGACCGATTCTCATGAAATTTTGTGAGCATATTGAGTAGGTCTGAGAATCGGCCAACATCTATTTTTTTATTCCGCGCGGACGGAGTCACGGGCGACAGGTAGTTAATGTGTAAAATTATGCATATCTACTTTAATACAATCCTTACTTTCTTTGGTCTTTCTATTCCTTTTTTATTTACGTGATCATCATCCTTCAGCATAACCTCTAACCTTCTGCTCCTAAATTTCTCTACCACTGGCGCTACTTTTAAATTTCCTCTAATATACACAATATAAGCTAGATCATTAAACCTAGCTTTTGTCAAACACGCCCTACTTTCTGCACGGATAGAGGGTGAAAAAATGCAAAGTATTAAATTTTAGAAACACGCCAACCCTTTGCGAGTCGGCGGACTGGGAAAATTGATTACGCTTTCAACACGCTCGCCATTTTAAATCTATTGTCCACTTTTTTTTTACTTTTTTTTCAGCACACGAGTGTAAATTAATTAATAATCACTGAAATTTCCATTTTTTTGAAGCTATGTGTGTTCAAAGAGCGTCGGTGGCTCAAGGGTTTGTAATCTGCAGGTCTTGGGTTCGATCCCGGCATGTACCAATCTGTTTATCGATTTTTGATTTCCATATGTATATTTATCTGACGTTCTTACGGTGAAGAATAACATTGTGATACAACCAAAAGATATGTGTGAAGTCAATCCGCATTGAGTCAGCGTTGTTGACTATGACCTAGAAATCCCTAACTTAGGGTA